AAGGGAGTTTCTCGTGGTAATAAAACTCCAACACTTGATATTGTTCTGATATATTTTAATGGAGATGTACAGCGAGCTTGAAGAGCGGGTAGTGAATGATAGTGAAATACATGAACTTATTAAGCTGTGATACTTAGCGCCTTAGAAGGCTAGCATCTTTGGTATTGCTCTAAAATTATTGAAGGCACTGGCCTGAACAATCTGAAATGTATTATGATTAGGAATGGACATAGATGACAATATTGTTTTTCTATAAACTTTCCTACTTTTCGTTTATTTCTTACTTGTGAGAATAACAATATGATCTAGTAATTAAACTGTATAATTTAGTTTCTATTTGGAAATTCTATGTAGTAGTTGTCAGGAGGAAATCGCCGGACTGCCACCCTCCACTGGGGATGGAGGGCGGGGTATGTCGGAGTCGAACTGACTAAAGCCTCCTGTCGCTCAACAACCCACGTCCGAGCCTCGCATGAGACAGATCTCATGAAAAGGCAAGGGGGGGAGAGTGAAGCGTTTAATGCGGAGCACATCTCTCCCATCACCCTCCCCCATGTAGTAGTTAGTGGAGCAATTTCTTATACTTATCTTAATTAACTGAATTTCAGACTCGTTACTCGAAATTGAGGCATTGATATAATTTCGCCATAAAAAAGGTACATTTCTTCATAGATAATATATCGTCGTTTTTTTTTTTTCAGGAGAAAAGCTATACAGCTGTGGTATTTGCTTCAAGAATTTCGTTCAAAGCGCTCAGCTCTCTATACATGTAAAGAGGCATATGGGTGACAAACCGTTTTTGTGCCAGGATTGTGGAAAAGGTAATAAATAAAATTGTAAATAAATAAATAAAAGCCCAAGACGCGAATCAGTTTTGTCAGCCTTTTAAGCAGGCATTGAAGAGAAATCACCACTGCTGGTCACGTTAGTCCTCGTTTCTCGTTCTTTTGTTTCTACTAGAAAGTAGTAGTTTTATTTTTCCAACTGGAAAGACAAAGGTGTCCTACCATACAGCCTAATATATAATATATATATATATATATATTTTTTAATGATAAATGATAATATGAAGTGAAATGAAAAAAGATGAGATGATATGGAATTAAATATAATCTCAGTAAAATCGTATTCATATTCTGAGACTTTTTCAATGGACTTTTTGGAGGATCCCGAGACACTACGTCCAGCGGCTTTATTTCATTTTCCCATATTTGTGCACTTTCACAAATATTAAACAGTTATTAAACCACCGTTATTACACATTTAAACCTGAAGAAACACTAAATAGACAAAATAAATGATTCACACAACTTCGCTCCTCGCGTTCCCGCCAAAAAGTCCTTTTGTTTCTTTTCAAATCACCTGTCAAGTCTCTGTCTTAGTCTATGTCCAGTCATTGTAAGTCGATGTCCTGTCAAAGAGGTTGCACTTCACGACACAAGTTTTTTTAAATGTTTTTTTTCTTGTATTTTTTTCAAGGTTTCCCAATAAAATCTGATCTCCGTGTGCACCAGCGCATCCACAATGGCGAGAAACCCTACAGCTGCCATCTCTGTACGAAGACGTTCGCCACGTCGGGGAACCTCGCCATACACATCCGGATACACAACAAAGAAGTTCGGTGAGTTCGAAATATAAACTTTGGGTGCTCGAATTAAGGTTCAATTAAGAAGGGTGCGTGTTCTGATCGCGACAGAGCCAAAAGGCGTCAGGCGTTGTATGCAAGCTTAATGTATGTACATGTCTTCGGCTTAATCTAGTATAATAAAGTCAATTAATTATATTAAATTATAATTCATAGTTTGTTATGTGTAATGTTTCAACATAAATTAGTTATCAGCTCTCATATTGAATATACTTGTTTATTCTATTGCAGATACAATTGTCCAGTATGTCAGCGGGGTTTCGTGACGTGCAGCGCTTACAATGTCCATCTAAAGCGTCACAAAGGACAAAAAGACTACCACTGCGAATGCGGAAAGACATTTTACACGTCATCAGCGCTAAAACAACACCGGGTCGTACACACCGGAGAGAAGAAATATCAGTGTAAAATATGCGAGAGGAAATTCACGCAAACTAGTCATTTAACGCGTCATTTTAAAAGGGACCATGCGAAACCCGGAGCACCTATACCCTCCTCGAATCAATATAAAGTCATCTTAAACGAGAACAAATCGCATCTGTTCGTGTACGACCAAAATATGGCGGGAAACAATGCAGATGTCAAATGCGAAGGACCATAGACAACGTCAAGAACTTCATAGTTAATTTTAATATAAATTATGTATTTACGACTACCTCATTACAATTTTTTTTTGTGTGACATTAATCCGTAACGTTGTTTTTAAAACAAATTAAGTATATGGTATTAAGTGGATGTTGTTTTTCTATGTAAAAAGATATATTTGTATTAATAAATTTTAAACAACTTATAAGGCAGTGTTTTTCGTTTTTATTTAGATCCAGATTTTATTAACAGCTCGATATTCGTAATTTTACTTAGGTCGCTCCCTAAAACAGAAATGAACAGATCAGCGATTGTACACAATTATAACAGAACTTCTGTCAAATTGGAAAAAAATGGTTTGACGTGCTTTAAAGGAAAGGCATTGAAATCTTGAATACTTAAAAATCTTAAAATTGATAGTTGGCCATTGATAGGTACCCAATGCACCATTTATAAACCGCTGACTAGTGTATACAATATGTCATGGTCATCGATTAATTCGCATTTATAATATTAATATGGTAATGAGAGTTGCAGTAGCATATCTATTTTAAAAACACTGGTGATGTCCACAATTTTATTATTGACTAGTTTGAATAATTAATAGCAAACTGAAGTCATTTAATAGAAGGAAGTAAATAGAAAACGTTACTGAACTGCTTTTGATCACGACATTAAATAGAAAAATACAACAGGAGAAAAATCTTGAATTGAAACAAACCTAGAGTACTAGTTCTTTAGTTTAGTTTAATAGTCTCTACATACTGGTTACATATTTATTTTCCAATAAAATAAAACTTTTAGTCGATTTTATTTATTTCTGAACTCATGTTCCAGCTCTTTTTGGTTTTGATTGCGTTTTGTTTTGAATTTTAGTACATTTTCCAGAGCGTCTTAAAACTGTTCCAAATAATTTTACTGTTAGTTAAATTGAAACAATTTAACATAATCTTACTAGATGATAATAAAAAAAAAATCGTAGCCTCGATCTTTTAAAAATGTATTTTATTTCACCTACCAATGGACTAAAAATGAGAATGAGAGTTAACATCAAAACAAAACGTCACTTGTATAGTTGAGTTGTTGGTCAAAAGCTTTACGTTGTTCTATTTTTGTTTTCTCTCAGTTTTAAGTTAATTTATGACATGGTTTAACCGCAAAATTATTTAGGATGACAATGGAAAGGAGGATAAAGTTAAAAACCCTCAACAGCCATATCACATGTAAAATCTGCCGCGGTTATTTCATCGATGCTACCACTGTTACTGAATGTCTTCATACGTGTAAGTAAATGAATTGTTTTCCTAATTATTTTACAAACATTATATTCTTTTTTAAGTTTATCATATTAAAAACACAGTATTAAACATTTGTATTAGGTAAATTTTATTTAAATACCAACATGATTTCGCACTTGAGAAATTCACGGATAGCTTTAATAATAATAACTAAATGCTATCAAGTTATTCATGATGAGTCTTTTAATAAGATTTTAGCTTAGTAAAACTAAACTTAGGGTGTACATCAAACTTAGAATTGAAAAATGTTTGTACATAACCTAAACCTAACATATTTGTGAACAATTTTGTAGTCTGCAAGAGTTGCCTCGTAAAACACTTGGAGGAGAACAACACATGTCCGACATGCAACATCGTGATCCACCAGTCGCACCCGCTACAGTATATAAGCTTTGACAGGACCATGCAAGATATAGTTTACAAACTTGTTCCAGACTTACAGGATAGTAAGTATAATAGCTTCAAACTTATTTTTATAAAGTACTGGGAGTGTCTCTGACAAAGCGGACTGTAGGACCCATCCTAAAATGGCCCTCGGCAATAACTGTTTATACTGAAACAATTTAATTAGTACCCAAAACATAAATAATAGTTTTAAATATAATTTGTTAATTTATTGTGGTATACTTCAGTGGAATCTTAGTATTTGTTTTAGTTTGGGGGATTCATTGATGTTTAATTGAGTTAAAAAGGATTAAAAAAAATAATTATGTAATACAAATACTGGTTTTGGTTTGTTTGTTTGTTTTTTTTGGGTGACTGGTAGAGAATGCCTTAGGCATTCACTACACATATGACACCAATGTCTATTTTACATGAAGTGTAAATAAATAAATAAAAAATATAAAAAAATACTATATACATTTCAATTGAAAGTTTCACTTGACTTGTGTGAATAATAATATATAGGTTTTTAGCAATGAATAATAATAATATATAGGTTTTTAGCAAAATCATGGTTGTACAACAAATCATGGTAAACATTTTAACTAGACTGTTTATTTATTATTTGTATTCAATTGTATATACATCCTTAAGGAGAACATTTCCGTGTAAAAATTACAATAAATTTCTATTATTGCTTTCTACAATTTCAATGTCAAGTAAACATTTGAACCTTTAACCTTAAAATCACAAGGTTTTTTGGTATAGCAGTGGTATTTACATTGTGTTATTTATGGTGACTAACTAGTTCAACACTTAACACCAGGTGGGGCATAAGCTTGTTCAAAACAAATTTGTTTTATCAAGGTAATATCTTGTTAATCTGCAAAGGGAACCTGATAGCCAACACCATAGATCTTTAAGACTAAAACTGATGTAGTTAGTGTATTTCCTTTGATTTTCAATGGTGTGACCTCTTACACAGAGTACAGATTAAGTACAAGAAACAAAAAAAGTAGGTATTTAGTTATTATTGTGTTGGTCTTCTTCTACTTCTGCTTCTACTCTAACCGTCAACTTCTTTATTCATTATCATTAAAGCATCAACAAAAAACTTATAATTAAATAAAAATTTTCACAGATGAGTTGAAACGTGAGCGTGACTTCTATCGTGCCCGTGGACTGCCTTGTCCTAAGGACACTGCACTCGCTGCAGACAAGCCTACAGGAGATGAGCCTGAGCAACCCGACAACACTGACTGCCATAGAAAAGATGAACAGGCATGTATTTATTTGCTTCCGGCAACTACAATTCTTAGACTATGTTTTTATTATAATTTTCGGACAGCCGATTATTTTTTTATTTTAGTAGAAATAAATATATCGATGCTTGAAAGGCAAACGTGACTTAGCGACAATGCGTGAACTTTACCATAGACTAATTTAAAGTTCAAATACATGAAAAAAATTATATTTTAACGAATCCAGCTGTAGGATTGAAATGATTTTAATAGACCTAGAAATGTATTTTTTTTGCGCATCGAATATGGTTATTGCCTATCATTTATGTATAAAGCAGTTATTGTTGCTTAGTCACGTTTGCCTTTCAAGCGTCGATATAATACTATGTTACATTACTTGAATATAATACTCGGTAATAAGACTTGAAATTATTGATTGATGGTCACAGAAAGCCATAGACATAACCACCATACCACGAATCCTAGAACTTCTTTGAGGGTTTCTACTTTTTCACTTTGTAAGCTTATTTAATGCTTAATGGCTGGTTGTCTGAATCACAAACCAATAAAAAATTTCAATTATTTCTTTGGCAACAGGTCAACGTCTGTTTGGAATGTATATCAACATCATTACGAACACTCAAAAGAAGTTTCATTCGATGCTCAGCTCAGGCGACAATAACACACCTCAAGAAATTTGTAGCTAAGAAAGTATTGAATGGAATCGACCAATACAGAGAGGTAAGTTTTCGATTATTATAGTCGGTGCGTCTGTAATGATAAAAAACTTCTTATGCCTCAATCAAGCAAATGATTTTTGTCAAAGTATATAAATAATTATAAATGTTCATGAATGTCTTCCAATAATAAATTTCAACATAACATCACGTCATTACGGATCCTCCTGATCACGTCATTACGGATCCTCCTGATCCATTAACGGTGCTCTTAGGCACCACAAGCACCGGTCACCGTCCTCGTCGAACCCGTCGCTTGCGACGAAGGGCTCGACGAGCGAACTAACCCATAGACACAGCCCACTGAGTTTCTCGCCGGATCTTCTCAGTGGGTCGCGTTTCCGATCCGGTGGTAGATTCTGCGAAGCAC